GAGCTACTATGAAATGTAGTATCTGAGATTTACGATAAGTGTGTAGAGTTTTGAGACTTACTTCTCCGTCTTTCATTCCTTTCTCGATATCAACTGTGACAAAGTATCCTTCCCGTTCGTACTTGACATTTGGGCATTGGTCACAGACCTGACAGGTACCAGAGGATAGGTTATAAAACAGGTAGGCTTAACAAGACGATCTGAGAGACTTGAATAAATCCGCCTTTTACCTGCTCTGTCATCTGTTGGAACATTCCAGGACCAATTTGTCTGTGATAAACTTCATTCCTGCAGTTACACTTTCTCTTTCCAGGAGCTGGTTTTATCACATTCTTCTCCCTCCATACCTGATAATTTAAACGTTGGACACTCTCGTTGAGAAAACCAAAACTTTAAGGCAAGTCTTTCTACACACATTTCTTTCAGAACCAATCTATTCTAACCAAAACATGGCTCAAACGTAAAGAATGTCTGAATGACACTAGAAAGCCAAGTCCACTAAGTTATATTGGTTCGTGATTATTTAAATCAATGCAACAGTTTCCAGAACAGTTATATGTATAACTAGCGATGATAATAACATCCTGACAAGGAGCTTAATATACCTTCATAGAACCTCCCATGTATAAATCTTCTAGAGTCGCCTCAAGTTCCACAATCACGTCATCACCCTTGACAACCTTCTCTTCATCCTCCATCGAACCTCCACCAAAAAACCTACCAGGCACATTAATAATCTCTCTACATTAGGAATCTGTAACAATTTGAACACCAATGCTAACATTACCAAAGTTATTGGTATCCACTATCCATACACAAAAATAACTCCATTTCTAATTTAACATGGGTTACATGTTTTCAGAAACCCAAACTCAGGTGCTTGAAAGAACCCTTAGCTACTGTTTTATGTTCCATGATTCATACAATATGATAACCCCCAATCTTGTACCATTAGGTTCTTCCAATAAAAGACGAGACAAGAAATAACAAACAAGATGTCTCGGATCAAAATGACAATACCATTGGTCTTTATTCCATTAATAATTCCTCGAACGCTAATCATTTAGACTCTTAAGAGACTTAAGAAATCTAAAAGAACAAAAAAAAAACTCACTGGCTAAATATGTCCTGCATATTCATG